GGCTCCCCGGGCAAGGCAGAGAACAGCGCTATCTTTGTTCCACCAACCTCTGGGCTCCGTCTACGGCTGTGTCCAGGAGGGGGACTGCTGCCAATCTGTTCATATTGTCCCTTTGCCCAGAGCGAAGCTCCCTCCCCCACCCATGCCCTCCACTTGCCCTGCCCCTTGAGTTCCTACTGGAGCTTTGTGGGAGCCGGACTGCTTGGCTCAGCCTCTGAAGGGCAGGAGTAGGGATGTCTGATGAGGGCTGACTAAGAATGTCTTGGATGAGGCCTTGGTTTCTCAGCCTTTAGGGGTTTTTGCTTTATTTTTTTTTTCCCTCCAAGCTTACAAAACAAGTCTTTATCTCTGCTAATTCCATAAGCAACATTCTTCAAAGCTCTTAGACTGACCTCCTCTAGTACCATCTCAATGTGCTGGTACCGCAGCAGAAACCAAGTGTTGGGCATAAATAAAGATAAACAGAAAATGAACAGCAAAGCAGCAGTTAGAAAAAATGATACAGGAGAAGATGAAGCAGGCCAATAATTTAAGAAGGCAAATGCGTCACAGTTGAGGATTATCACGTTTGACAAAGAAGAGAACCTCAGAGATGGGAGAATTGCAATAATCATCGGTTTCTTTCTCTATAGTATGCAAAAGAGTATGTGTAAAAATAACAGCTCATGCTAAGTGATGGGTGGGGCCTCTGGTAAGACAGAAGGGAAGACCACTGCCCAGAGGTGGAGTCAAGGGGATGGGTACCAAGGGCTAGGGAAATGTCACTCTCCCTAGCAGGGTCCCATCTCTCACAATGAAAGCTAAGGAGCCTACCATTTGGGAAGTCTTTTCTCAGCCATTTGGGGGCTATATTTGTAATGTTAAAGTGGTGTTCACTTAACATTTAAGAAGTCATTCCAGTAAGCAAAATGACCCATGAAATCTATTTTCCTTTATTCCTGTGGGGATCAAGTTTAGACAGGAGATTGCATGAGCCTGGGCGTGCCAGCAATGTCTTTGGAAAGGAGCAACTTTGACCTTTCACATTGCAGGGGCTTGTAAGGGTGTCCTGGAAGTGAGCTGGGTGCTAGCATACCGGTAGGAGGCTGTCCCTCACAACACCTTAGAGAGTGGCTTTCCCAAGCCTTGTTTGGGCCTTCTGAACTCTGGTTCCTTCTCTCCACCTAGCACATGCTGCAGTTTCCTCCTCTCCCCACTTTCTGAGGAAACTGGTCCTAAGAGGCAGAGAACACACCAACTTCCCAGCACCACAGATAACAGTGTGTCTCCTCCTGCACCTCTGCCCCAGCCCAGCAGTAAGGAAAACTGGAGTTCCCTATCCATTGCTCAAGTTCATCTGGGGCCATCTCTGAACTGAGATATGTTCTACAGGTGGCAGCCTGGACTGGGCAAGAAGGCCTTCCTTTTACTTTGCCTGTTCACACCGAGCAGGGAGGTGGAAACAAGGAAGAGTGTCTATCCAGATCCTGGGCTTACACTTGGAGAACCTACTCTAGGAACTGGTGACCTCGGAGTCTCTTGTTCAAATAGGCTTGTACCCTTTTCAGGGCCATTGAAGACCTTGTTCCTAGGTTCAGTGAATCTTCCCAGGGTCCTAAGAGGTGGTCAGCAGGAGGCTGTGGTTTGATGGAGTTCCACACGTTCACATATCATGTGAACTAAGGAGCAAGGGGCTTGTGGTAGCTGGGAGAGCTTTCTCAGTATCTTGACCAGCAGTTTCAAGGTTTTCCCCCATTCAGGAGTCCTTTATCAGCCATATTTTACATGGCAAGCTATGATTTGCACATTTCACAAACATTATCAAGAGAAAAAGCACAGCTCGTCCTCCAGCCTGCAACAACAGCCTGATCCTAAATATCCACTCTATTTCCTGAGCTTTTTCTGAGACAATAAGCCAGGCACTCTATGTCTTAAAATATGGAACAGCTTAACAAGTATGTTATTTACTTGTAATCTTGAAGTCTTAACTGGGATCAAGAATCTGCTTAACTGGTACATTCGCTCTGCTGTCACTAGTACCACAGGAAGGCTTCAGTAGCCTTTAGTGAAAGAACTGTGGCACTGGTGAGGGTTTCAGGAGCTTCAGGGACCACTAAGGAGGTTGCAGAGGCAGCTCCCATCTTGCAGCAGAGTTAAGTCAGGCCTTCCAAGTTTCCAGGGACGGCTGGGCATTTAGGGGGAAGTCAGCTAACTAAATATGGGTTCACTGTTCCATCCCAATGCTCATAGGTAACATGTGAGATGTGCATGCCGTGAGGCGTAAGAGGTCTCTTCATGTGCTGGCAGTGGGCAGTGACCAGGGTTTCCATGGTGCATGCAGAGCAGGTTTCTGTCCGACTTCAAGACTCTGCAGCTTATGTAGATGTCCTCCAGCTCTCCCCATGCTATTTATTGCTACCATCTGTTGACACTCTGCTGCTCGATCCTTGATGACTCTGACAACTACACACAGGCAGCTACATCCATTAGGAAGACAGAATTTCTCCTTCCCTACTAGAATGGGGCTCCCCAAGAACAGGCACTGGTAGCCTTGCTCCTTCTAATCTCCACTCTACAGAAGATGTATAAAGGGCAATCAACAGGTACAGGGTGACTAATATAGTGGGAACACGGAACTGGATCAGAAGGATGGGGGAAGCTAAAAGTGGTATCAGCCAAGAATGAAAGGGTGAGTGGAAGCTAAGACGACTATAGGAGGGTGGGGCTAGAAAAGTGACTTCCATGCATGATGGGTGTGTGACTAGACCCTGAGGGAGGAGGGAACACAGCTCATTGTTGGAGACTGAGGGGGAGTGCAGAGACCTGAGAAGGAAGCAGACTTCTGATTGGGGACCATGAGCTTCGTTTTAGGCATTTCAAGAAGACAATGGAGGGTTCCAAATAGGGAGCATGATCTGAAAACGCAGTCTGTCTTCTGGAATTGAATGTAATGTCTCAGCCATAGGCACCAAAATTGTTAGCAGAGAGACAGCTCATAGGGGAGATGGCAACTCAGGCCCTAGGAGTTATTGGAACAACTGGGAAATGTATAGAGTTGGAAGGGCAGAAGGGTCTTAGACATCAAGAAATTCTCAGTGTAAAAGAATAGAGAAGATCCCAGTTCAACCACAGCTGCTCATGATGACACTAAAAATCTGTATCTCCAGAAAATCCTATAGTAGCATCACAAAGCATTTGGTAAAACGAGACAGCTGTCGAAGAGACAACCAGAGCTTAGGAGGAAAACAAGATGGTGACATTTTAGAAAACAAGGGGCAAATTTCAGGAAAAAAGCAACCAGTGAGACCCAGACTGAATCTGGAGATTGGAATCCACTTGTTGAATGCCTTTATATTTGAACTCAGTAAACAAAGCAGGTCAATAGGCTGACCCAAGTCTTCAGATACAAGCACAAAATTCAGACTGGGGGGGGGGGGGCAAAGGGAATAGCTGCTTATTAGAAGTACAATTTCAACTGAGACAAAAAAAAAAAAAAAAAAATGGAATAGTCATCAGGCCAGGAGGTAGGCATTGTCGGGAAAGGAAACAATGGAAACAAAAGTATGAGTTCAGAGATCAGAATATTCTAGGAAGTAGAATGTATTCCTGACAGGGCACAAAGATTTTGTTGTTGGGAACTGAACAAAAGAAGAGGAATAAGCCTCAGATATTAAGGACTTAATGTGCCAAGCTAAAAAGTTACCTGGTTTTTATCTAGAGAATAAAGGGGGCCCTGTATATAAGAAAGTGAAGTGCTGCAGTCAGACTTAAAAGCCCGTTCTAGCAGCCAGTGGAAGTGAGGAACTTGGAGCCAAGGCGATTAGGAAGTGATGATAAGTCAGACTTCCATTTGGAGATGTCCCAGGGATCACATGGGGTGGGACAGTGAAAATGAGGTAAGCTGCAGGGGAGGCTGGAGCAAGAGGTCTGCTGGAGTGACTGCTGGTTGGAAGCATGAGTCCTTGAGTCAAGAATTAAGGAAAATAGATGTAGATGAGGTTAGGGGAGGAGATCTGGCACAGGAAACAGCATTTCAACACTAGAGAAGGCATAAGTAACGGTATTGTCAGTTCCTCGTTCTCTTAACTGGTCCTTCCCCTCTGCATCAGTCTACAGCCTGTTTCAAACATCGGCATGTATTGCTGCTTTAGCTACTAGAACGTAGAGATTCACTCCTTTATTCCTTACTTCACCCAAACATAATTATAATGCACCAACAATTTGCAAGTCACGGTACCTGAGAACGGATCTATTTATCCCTAGTCGAAAGACACAACTGGCGGTCACCTTACAGAGATTTTATTATATCCTAGCCAAAAAACGTGTACCGCCCAGTTAGAAACCACTAAGTTAGATAACGGCATAATGGTTCTGGAGAAATACAGTACACTATGAGACAATAAACGAGGTGTAGGCATTGAGATGCATGAATTGGTTTAGATCTGCGACCACCCTGTTATCTGCACGTAAGATTTTTGTCTGTTAATATTCGTTGAGGAGAGTAGAAGAGGGATAACCGTTGCATGCCAACACGTGGTTCTGGACTCCTAAAACACTGAAGAACACCCTACCTTTCTTGTCATTGTGCAGTACTGATACATGTTAATAAGACAGAGCAAGTAGCTCGGCAATCTGTTAGTGCCCTGATATTTAACGTCCTTTATTGTCATAGCCATTGGGATGGGCATTGTGGCACCTGCCTGTAACCCTGGCATTTGAGAGGTGGAGGATGATTTGGAATTCAAAGGCCACCTCAACTACTTGAGTTTATGGCCAGCCTAGTCTACATAGAAAGTTGTAGGGCAGCCAGAACTACACAGTGAGACACCTTGTCTAAAAAGCAAGAAAAAAAAAAAAAAAGCTACTAAAGGATCGGATGCTCACTGGGCCCTCCAGGACGGTGCCCAGAACAAGGCTCATAACCTCAGCAGCAGCCACCAGTTCGACGCCTTCCGACCCGGAAGAAACACTTCCGAGCCCCGCCTCCTAGTAGCAGCCGGGGAGGAGTCCGTTAAGCTCCAGGACACCGGTGGAGTCCCGGAGCATCAACACGGAAGTAGCCTCCAGCCGGAAGTTCCAGGGCCCGTCCGAGGAGGGGTGGGGGCGGGGAGCCGCAGGCACACACACTGCGGGCAGGATGGCGGCTCAAATTCCAATCGTGGCTGCCACTTCTACCCCCACCATAGCCAGGACCAGCAAGAAGAGGCCAGCCAGCCCATCTCACAACGGCAGCGGAGGGGGATACGGCGCCAGTAAGAAGAAAAAGCTGTCCGCCTCCGGCTTTGCTCAGGTACACTGTGCGCACCGCCCGGGGACGAGGGCGCATGCGCAGGCTCGAGAGGCGCCGAGGACGCTTGCGCGGGGAGTGGCGGAAGCTGGGGCGCGTGCGCAGTCCTGCGGGCGAGGGTGGTGAGACTCACTTCCCTGAGAGCCGCGTTGTAACTCCTGCTGGAAATTAGGTTTTTTTGAGTCGTAGGTTGGATCTACGACTTTAGTTAAAAAAAAAAAAAAAAAAAAAAAATCGCCCGCGTCGTAGAGTAAGGTTTTAATCGGTTTAGTAGAAGGGTCGCCCAGCTCTGTCAGGTCTTGTTTTCTGTATCTCTGCAAGCTTCTCCCGCAGATGGGAGCCCGAGGGGTCGCCCCAGTGTGCAGCATGGAGGAATACAAAGGTGATTGACACCTGTGGCTTCCTTCATTCTTTTTACATGGGTTAAATCTAGAGGTCAAGACGTGGAAGTCTAGCCGGGCGGTGGTAGCGCACACCTTTCATCCCAGCACCCCGGAGGCAGAGGCCGGCTGATGTGTGTGTGAGTTCGAGGCCAGCCTGGTCTACAGAGGGAGTTTCAGGACAGCTAGAGCTACACAGAAACCCTGTCTCGAAAAACAAAAAGAAGGAAGGAAGGTTGAGGCCAATCGGAAAGTGCTGAGCACAGAGGGTTGGCACAACAGACTAGCTACAACCCGCGGAGACCAGCAGTGGTTTGGTTGGGGGGTCGTGCCTTTCCCACTCTCACTTTATGAGGAGGGTTATGCTCCTGGTTATGCTTTTCAGTTTGTGTGGCGCGTTTCCCCAGCAACTCTGTTGGTAATTGGCAACCCCTCCACTCCATTTAAGCATTTTATTGAGTTTGCATGTAGTGAAACACACAGACCATAGACAGTCTCCAGACAACTTAGCATTTTTTTTTCGAGACACGGTTTCTTTGTGTAGCCCTGGCTGTCCTGGAACTTGCTCTGTAGATCAGCCTGGCCTTGAACTCACAGAGATCCGCCTGCCTCTGCCTCCCAAGTACTGGGATTAAAGGCATGTGCCGCCGCCGCCCTGTTTTAAGATATTCTTGAGAGGCCCAGAAAATTCCTGCTGATCTTGTCCTCTGCCTCAGCCTTGCAATCCGGTCACCATGTTCTTCCCTCCCCGCCAGAAGTAACCACTTTTCTGCCACCTCCTACCTCAGCTAGCTTTGTTTATGTACCCCCCCTCTTCTCCTGCTCCCGAAACAGTGTCCCTATGTAGTGCTCCACTTCTGGCTTACTTGTTTTGTTAGTATTTCATAAATTATTGTAGTTGTCTTGTTTCTTGGAACAGGATCTCATGTTTCTCAGGCTGGCTTAGAACTCACTGACCCTCCAGTTTCAGGCTCCTGAATGTTGAGCATCCCGGCTTGCAGTATGACCCAGCTCCGTTATGTACTCATTATGTACTCATGAGGTGTATTCTCTTGTGGTTTTCCATAATGTGATTTAATGTTCTCTTATGCTGAGACCAAGCAATATAGTCACTACATTAAGACGGGTTTTTGTTGCTTTGTGTTTGTCTTTCTCCTTTTGCTTTTGTTTTTAATTCAGACTCTAAACAATGTAGCCCTCACTGGATCTGGAACTTCTGGTATGGAGACAAGGCTAGCTTTGAATTTACAGCGATCCACCTGCCTCTGCCTACCAATGCTGGGATTAAAGGTCTGCTTTACCATGCCCTGCTCTTTGTGGACCACTTTTGGTTGGGTTTGGTAAGACACCATCATCTTACTGTGTAGACACTGCTGGTCTGGAAATCACTGCAGAGCCCAGACTGGCCCTTTGGCAGTCCTCCTGCCTCAGCCTCCTCATTCTTGGCAAACAGGTGTACACTACCACACCTGGTCTGAGTTAGTGTGTCTTTCTTTTTTTCCAACCTATTGAGACAGAGTCTTGCTATATAGCCTAGGTTGACTGTAAATTCACTATGTACCTGGGCTGGACTTGTAAGTCCAGGTTACTAGTAGATGCCTCTGTGTTTGATTCTTTTTATTTGGTTGTTTTTTTGAGACAGGGTAGCCTTGGATGTTCTGGAACTAGTTCTGTAGACCAGGCTGCCCTTGAACTCACAGAGATCCACCTGCCTCTGCCTCCTGAGTGCTGGGATTAAAGTTGTGAACCGCTATCCCCAGGCTGTTTGATTCTTAAATGATGATTAAAAACACCATCCCCTTCCTTTTCAAAACACCACAGCAGGAAGACAAGGTTGTCCCGAAGTCTGAGTCCCAGTCATGAGGGTTGCTGTTGGCAGAAACTATCATAAGGATTCTACAGTTCAGCATAGGCTAGGAGAGCCCCTAGGCCTTGCTGACCCCAGGTTATTACAGCAAGACTGGTGTCTCTACCCTGGAACTTACACCATCTTCTTTAGTAATAGGAAGAGGGCATAGCCCTTAGATCTAGGCGTAACCTCCCATCTGTCTTGGGCCTTTCATGTCTCAGGGCTGGATATTCCATCTCTGAAAGCCTTTTAGTGTTTATGATACTTTCACAACATGGAAACCGTAGATTACCATGTGTCTTATTTTTCCGAAGCAGAGCATCATAGACTTGGTTTTCCCTCTGACTAAAGGCCTTCCTGTCATCCTGACTCAGTACTGACTGTGAATGAGAGGAACAGAGAAATAAGGGTGGGGTAACATGGGAATGGCCTTTAAGAGGAAAGGCAAGCAGAGACCAGTATGACCTTCCTGCGGTTTATCTGGCTGGAGATGGCGTAGAACCCTTCAGTTTGAAAAGCAATAGCCACTGAGCCAGTTCCCAGACTGTCATTCCCTTCTGGAGTCTTCCCTAGGCTGCTGTCGGAAACAGCAAGCTCTGGCCTCCCTCACCCCCATTACAGGCAGCAGCAGAAGCACTTTGTTTTGGTGGGTGACCTCTCCCTGGAAGAACTTTACAACTGTCTGTCTAATCCACACTGACTTGCTGCAGTGACTGTTTTTCACAGAGCCTCTGGAGACAGTCCACCCTCCCACATCTCCAAATTGGTTTGCCCCTGGAGGATGGGGCACTGGAGTTCGACACACTCTGTCCATAGTACCCTTGTCACTGTTATAGTCTGAGGCATTAAGGCCTTGGTTTCTTTTACCTTTAGCAACCCTTTGCTTCCTTGGCAGTTCAGCTTGTTTGTCCTGGATGACCTCTTTCCTCCTAACTGACAGCTCTCCTGAGATTCTCTACTTGCCTCTAATTAGCAGCTTGTCCTTTCTCCTTTTGCCCTGAATCACAGCCTCTTAAAACATAGATTTCAAGGCCGGGGAGATGGCTCAGTGAATAGAAGTGCTGATGTAGCAGTATTCACAAATAAAGAAATACAGGATACATTTCAGTGTGAGTTTCTTCTCTCTCTCTCTCTCTCTCTCTCTCTCTCTCTCTCTCTCTCTCTCTCTCTGTCTCTCTCTTTGATACAGGGTCATCTCTGTTTAACCCTAGCTGTCCTGGAACTTGCTTTGTAACCAGGCTGGCTCTGAACTCACAGAGATCCGCCTGCCTCTGTCATTTTGATTGCTGGGATTAAAGGTGTGCACTGCTACCTCTTGGCTTCAGTGTGAGTTTCTTAAGATTTAAGGATTTGCATAATGCTGGGAAGACTGGAGTGAAGGAGGATGATGAGAGAACTCCCAGAGATTTGCCTGCTTCTGCCTCCCATGTGCTGAGAGTTAAAGCATGTGTCACCACACCTGGACTAGTTTGATTCCTGTCTCTGTGACTCACAGCATGAGAAAGTAACTCATGGTGGGAAAGGGTTCATTCAGCTTTCCTTCCTTGTCACAGCCTGTCACTGAGGAGTTGGGACAGGAGTTCACTGTAGGAACCAGGGGGGATTGCTGCTTATTAGCGCACTTTTCTGGCTTGCTCTGCTAGCTTTTTTTATATAGCCCAGGCCTGCCTACTTAGGGACGGCGACACCCACAGTAGACTAGTCTCACATCAGTCTCAGTCAGTTCTTCGTAGACATGGCCACAGGCCAGTCCAAGCAAGACAATTCTCCTTGTCCCAGGTGACTTGTGTCAGGTTGACAGTAGAACTATTTATGTGTGTGTGGATGTGTATATGTGCACATGTGTAACAGCTTTGTTTATAACTGAACATGGAAAATGAACCAAATGTTCAACAGAAAAAAAATGGATAAATAAGTTTTAACTCTTCCATGTAGTGAATTCTACTCTGCTGAGAAAGAGGGAAATTGATGAAGGAAACCACTGATCCATGTGAAGGTGTCAGATACAAGCCATATACTGTCACAGTGAAAGAGATGTAGAAGAATCAGGACGTTGGTTGCCCTTGAGACTGGAAGGCATTGGCTAGAAAGGGGCAAGAGATAGTTCTGGAATGGTGGTGGGCTATACCAGTGTCAGTACTGGAAACTCATGAAACCTGTCCCTGCCACATATGCATTTCACTCTGTGAAGATAATGACTCAGTTCCTAAGATGCTTGTCTTGGAATTGGTTTATAAACGAGACGGCATTTCTTATTTCTGCCTCCTTTCTCTCGTGCTGCTTGAAGGACACTGCGTCCCAGCTTCAGCCAGCTGGCCCATGTCCCTCCAGCTTCCTCTGTTTCAGAATTCCCGTGTCCTGTTGTCCCCAAGTGCAGATTAGCTCCAGCCTGGGTTTTCTGACCAAATTAGATTCTTGAGGTCCAGACTCTAAGACTAGTCTTCCTATTTCAAGACATAGTTGACAAGATCGTCAAGAAAGAAGGACTATGGCACTGTGGAATGGATTTAAATTGAAAAGTTGTGTGCTGTGTAGCCTTAAACCAGGCCCCCCTGCCTCTATTTCCTGTAAGAGGGAGATAATGGCATGTCCTTAGCAGTTGTCAGAATTAATCAGACAGCTGGAGTAGACAGCAGTCCCCAGGCACTAGGGGACCAGGAAAGCTGGTGCTGGGGTCCTGCTTATACCTGCCATGGTTCTTGCTTATACAGATAGCGTTCCCCAGCCTCCAGGGCAGGAACCCTGGACCCCTTGCATGTCTGTCTGGTTGAGAGCGCACATGAGGAGCCCATCTGGCTTCAAAGATTTCCTTCTTTCTGTGTTTCCAGGGTGTCAGCATTGAAGCTGTGAGTGAGAATAAAATGGCATCCTCTGAGTTTAGTTCGGGGCCTGTGGAAAAAGCTGCCAAGCCATTGCCATTTAAGGATCCTAACTTCGTGGTAAGCATATAAGGGGTTATCAAATATGGGGGTGGACAGCTGCACCTCAGCCTCCGATGTAGCTGGGTCTGGAGTTGCCTTCTCCCTCAATTCCATTTGCCACCCCCCCACCCTGGCTGTTGAAGATGGGGAGGGAGGGGTACAGGATAGGACTGGGAAGGCCCTCTGTGACCTCCCAGTGTGTCAGGCCTTTTCAGAATTCCCCAGAGTTCTGAGGATGATTTTTCCCACGATTGTTCCCCTATGCTTTCTGTTAGCCTTAATTTTAAAAGAAGTTAGAAATAAGTAAAATAGGAGCACTCCCCACTAATTCCTTTAAATCTCTTTCATTCATAAAGGCTGTATTAAATCAGTTTTAGTGACCCAAATCATACCTTTAAAGGTTTATTTATTTATTTTTTGATGAGTCTTGGCAATCCATTGTAACCATGGTCAGCAAATATGTTAGTAGTCTTTTCCGTTTCATTTTTTTAATCCTCATATCACAAAAAGAAATTTCCAGAAGGCTTGCCATACCATGATTGAAGCTTATTTGGGTTTTCCAGGACCACTAGTAATTAGAAGGCAGAGAGACACACCCTCAGAGGTGAGTTAGAAATGTAATCTCAAGATCACATCCAAGTTTGAGTAAACTGACTTCAAAAGGATGAGGTCATGAGTGAATTCAACTAGGGTGAAGACGGTCAAGAATTCACTTTCCTGTGTGCATGGTGAAAAATAGCCATTTATTTCTGCTCTGTCATGAGCAAACTTGTGGGTTTAGGTAGCCCCCAAACTAAGTTCTTTTCGTTTGCTTATTTATCTTTTTTTTTTTTGAGAAAGGGTCTCCTGTAGCCCAGGCTAGCCTCAAATTCATCCTTGAACTAACTCCCAATTCTGCCTCCACCATGAATAGCTACGCACTATGTTCTTTTAAACAAAGATTAAAGTATATGGTGAGGTCCTTTTAAAGGTCTCGCCAGCATAAATAGTTGCTTACAGCCTGAGTGGTGCCTAACGGCTCTAACGGGCACCGTGTCAGGTTCGATGCATCTTCCACTGACTCGTCTCTTCTCCCCGCTTTTAATTTGAGCACTCTGGCCACGGTGGTGCAGTAGCTGGCAAGAAGAATAGAACCTGGAAGAACCTCAAACAGATCCTCGCTGCCGAAAGGGCATTGCCATGGCAACTGAATGATCCTAACTGTGAGCTGTCTAGAGCCTTCTAAGTGTTTGTAATGTAGACAGAAACTTCCTAACAACAAACCTACGTTATTTGCTCGTGTTTGTGTTATTGCGGGGAAATGTTCTTAGCCTGAGAGCCCTGCAGTGGCACCCATCCAGGGATATTATGCATATATTCCCTGTTCATGGAGTCTATGTTGAGTCTGTTTGTTTGTGTTGTCACAGGGGTTTAGTTTTTAGTGTTTTATTTGCAATTTCAGTCTGGAGAAGTAGGCCCCACTGTGATAATGGCAATGTTTCTATTAGACCTCTCGTTTAAAAATCCACTATTTAAGCTTGTTTTCACAAAAAAAAAAAAAAAAAATGTAGCCCACCTGTAATCCTGTAATGAGAGATTTGAGAGAGTCTTCAGAAAGCAGCTAACAGGCCACACACACACTTTTTCTCTGAGCAAATACCTCCTGCTGTAGTATGTCCAGACCTGGGCAAAACCTTGTTAGCTGTTCTGCTCAGCTACCAGCTACCCTGGAAACTTCAGGTTCCAAGATCTCCCCTCCTGCCCTGCTGTGCATCTTTCATGACTCAGATGGTGACAAGTTAGTCATCTGGGTGTGGACCGCTTGAGTCTGGGTGTGTGGATCCTGTTAGTGGCTGTGTGGCCTTTCATCACCAGGAGCCCATTTTAGCTGGAGACTGTGAAATAGCCTGCGGGTAGATGAACTTGGCGGATCCACTGGGGTGGCTTGTCTCTGGTGGCAGGGCAGGACCCTAGCTGAGGCCTGCACTTAGTCTGTGACATACTGTGCTAATTTTGAGACACCTCCTTTATTCCCCTGGTTAATCCCGGGAGGCTTCTGTAAGTGTGTAATTACAGAGGGGCATTTCAGGAGTTAGCTTAGAATAAAGAATAAGGGATTGGAGAGATGGTTCAGTGGTTAAGAATAAGGAAGAGCATAGATAGCATAATGGACCAGGAATTAGGATAATTTGAAGGTTATGTGGTCATCTCTTTTCTTTCTACTTTTTAGACTTTAGTATTGATGCTCCTCCATCCTTCAAGCCAGCTAAGAAGTATTCCGATGTTTCAGGTCTTCTCGTGAGTATAATTACATGTGTCTGTATTCGCGTTACATGTGCGATTTCAGGCATGTCTGTCTACACCGATGGTCCTGCCTGGAGTTCCGGCTGTGGTCTGAGTGTCTGTGTGGGTAGTCTGGAGAGGCCTTTGCTCCAGAAAGCAAGACGCAGAATTCTCACTTCTTCTTTTTTCCTTTTTCCTGTGTGAGACAACATGAACGAAACAGCCATTTCTGTCTTCACTCTTGAGTTTTAAAATAGTGATTTACACAATGGCAGTCCTTTAAAAGCTATTCTTGGCTGGCGATGTAGCTCAGTGGTAGAACACATGCCTAGCATGCCCAGCACCGTAGAGGGGACCTGAAGTCAGGACACACAAACACAAGTTTCTAGCCTTTTCCCAAATGAAGCCGTGTAAGTAACCCACATGTCTCTAAGAGCTGGAGCCCCCTCTCCCATGTGGTTTCTGTGGATCTGGTCCTATGCCCTCCTCCCTAGCCGACCACCATGTCCCCTCCAGTGCTTCTGAAGCAGAACTGCAGGTTGGGGTGGAGGCAGGGCACCGACACTGGGCACTGAGTGTACTTCCACCCACACAGGCGACAGGCGAGCAGCGGGTGCAGAACCCGCAGAGAAATTCCAGCTGGCCTTTATCCGTCTTCATCTCTTGTAAATTTGAAAAGCGGGGTTTTTTTGCTCGTTATAGGAATGGTGAAGCGTACTACGTCTAAAATTTACCTGTATATCATTTAAATGCTTTTCAGTTTAATGAGGATAACTGATCCACCATCTGTCACAGACTGGCCAAATTAGTTCTATACATTATACCAGAAAATTGCTTCTTCTGTTATCATGTAATCTCCTCTCTCAACTCCTGGCCTTTTTATTGTTCTAAGGTATGCTTCTGTCTGAATTCATATAGCTACATGCTTGAGTTAGGGTGTTTGCTCTCCTGAAGGCCCATTTGCTGTGAGCTTGGGCCTCAGTGTGGTGGTGTTGAGGCATTAAAAGGTGGGCCTGATGAATTAATGGTGCGTCTTAAAAATGGTCACACCTGGGTCAGATCCCATAGGAATGGATGCGCTTCTTCCAGACGGACTCATGAAAAGAGCCTTTCTTTTTTCTTTCTTAGTTTGCACATACACTTTTCCTGTACTTGGCCTGTTTTCTTCACACCATGTTGAAGTACAGCCAGGTGGGACCCTCACCAGGATGCCAACATTGAAAGCTAACTAAGCCTCCGGGCATTGGTGGCATACGCCTTTAATCCCAGCACTAGGGAGGCAGAGGCAGGCAGATCTCTATGAGTTCGAGGCCAGCCTGATCTATAAGAACTAGTTCCAGGACAGGCTCCAAAACCACAGAGAGACCCTGTCTCAAAAAAAAAAAAAAAAAAAAAACAACAAAACAAAATACAAACACACACATACACACACACTTTATATGTAAAGGTGTTTTTCCAGCATGTATGTATGTGCACTATGTGTGTGCTTGGTACCCTCTGAGGAAACCCTGGAGCTGGGTATCCGGCAGGAGCTCCTAACCTTTGAGCCATCTCTGGCACGGGAAGCCTCGTTTCTTTATAAAGCATTCAGGTATATTTTCGATAGTAGCACAGAATGAACTAAAACACCATTCCAGCTTTCCTTTTGTGCAAGTTTGTATGTAATAGCTCCCATGTGTGTTTTGCCTTTGTCTGTATTTTTGTATTTAGAGTGAGTTTCTTTAAAGAGGGTCTAGCTTTGTACCCACCTGACAGTGTGACTCCAGATGATAGCTTTATATGGTTCACATTTCAGTGACCATTACTGTGGGTATGTAGTTGATGGCTGGTTTGCGCCATCAACCAGCTCCCAAATAAAAACATGGAGACTTATTACTAACTATGAATGCTCGGCCTTAGCTTAGCTCTTTTAATTTAATCTGATTCTCTTGGTCTATGGTTTTACTTTCTTTCATTCTGTATGCCCTGCTTTGCTGCTTTCTCCATGTCTGACTGGCTGGTGCCAGTCATCTCTCTTTTTGCCTTTCTTTCTGAGCCTAAATTCTTCTTCCTACTTAATCTCCCTGCCCAGAAGTCTTACCTATACCTCTTCCCTTGATATTGACCATTCAGCTTTTTATTAGACCCATCAGGTTCCATAGGCAGGCAAGGTAAAACAGCAACACATCTTTATATAATTAAACAAGTGCAACACATCTTTGCATAGTTAAATATTCTGCAACAGTTTTCCTTTTTTTTGTCTAAATAAAAAGGTTTTAGCTTAACATAGTAAGACTATAAACAATAAGAACAATTATCAAACACAAATGAAGCCGCGTATGTAAGAATTACATTTGCTACAATGTCCAGCCCATTTGAACTTGGCAAATTCAGAGAAAATACTCCATTATCTATCCTCTCTTATAGTGTACCTAATTTACTTCCTAACTTTCTATCCTAACGTGTATTACCAACCCCAAATTATGTTTTTAGACCTTAAAACATTTTCTTAGATAAACAGTTTAAGCTTTTATGCTTCTCAACCTTCATATTACATTTTTATTTGTTTCTTTTCTGAATTTGGTAATAAGGAAAACTATAACTATCTCATCTTCAACTCCATCAGAGACCCAAGAAGGATATAGTATTACCTGAATAAACAGGAAGTGCAAAGCAAACAACTTCCAAAACTATAGAAGTGACAGAGACATCTGTCTGCCTGGACAGTCATCCAAACTCTGCAGTGTTGGGACATCCAACTTCTGTCTACAGGTCTAGAATATCTGACAGACTTTTCTATGAAGAAGGAATTTTGAAGAACTGTTGCATCTTGTCTTGGCAAAATTTGGCAGTCTTTTTCCTATTGTCCTACTTGTCCAATTTGGACTCTCAGCAGTCAAGGCAAGGGCAGTTCCTTGCCCAATGTCTAGCTTTGTCACAATGAAAGCAAACTCCATATGGAGATTCTTCAGCATCCATCATCCTTTTATGAAGTAAATTGTTGCTGCCAGAAATAGACATGTTTCACTGACATGAAAAGCCTTAGGTTATTAAACATCTTAAATGTCAAATTCTGATGGTCTTTGAAGTGTTTGAAGATCACCTATCTATCTAAAATATATGTTTAACCTTGAAAACATACCTAACATGACTATAAGTTGTTACAGATGACTAACTACTAACCTGTATTTTTTTAATTATCATAAACAGTTTGAAATTATAGCTTTCAATGACTAGAACTTTGTATTACAGTAGTAAATGAGCTGCATAGATCCAATACCTTAAACAAGAGTAGAAACATTTATACAGTGTAACAAAAATAACCTTAAATTGTATCAGTATATAAAAATCCATACCAACATAAAATATTTGAGATGAATAGTTGTCTTTATATCCTATATTCCTATATTCCCACTGAATGATGACAAACATGAGCTACCAAATGACCAAAACCTACCCACCCCACCTTTTGGGAATGCGAGCACTGTGTTCTCTAGACTATTTTCTGTTGCCTGAGGGCAATGCATACCCAGGGGACCCTTAGAAAATTGAGATAATGGTGAAGTCTTAAGAAAACTAGCTATAACATTGGTTGTTCAGTCTCTGTGCTATGAGAAAGTGCAAGGCTTATCTGAAGTTCTGGCTACAATAGTCTATGAGGCTGAGCCATCTCAGCCAGCAGCATTGACGTAGTTCTGCATGCATCAGAGGCACTCTGACAGGCTGGATCACCTGGGCCACCCGTTTTCAATGGTATCTGGTCCCCTTGATCTGAAAACACACACACTAACAAGGTAACATATATGTCTGCATTAACACAGGTATGAACTGTGCATTGCACACAAGGCAGCCAAAGACTTTTTTTTTAAAATATATCCAAGCAAGTAAAAAACAGCTGTCAACTTGGCATGTAGTAAGTCATGAGGACTCTGTATTTATCTTGTCTCACCCAGTCTCAGAGCTATTCTTTTGTCAAGGGATTGGCATATATGTCAACCGTGTGTGTGTGTGTATGTATGTACATATGTAAACATATATGTAAACAGTCTTTTAGTTTTTCTAGACTTATTTATGTCTGTAGCCAAGATTTTCAGGGAGTCAAATCTGGTCTCTATTTTGAAGGAATCCACAGCCTTTCGTTTCCTGTGGAAACAAAAGCATAACCTCTCCCCCAACTCAATACATTTTCCAAATTACATTTTAAAGTCAGACATGCCTAAAGTATCTAGACTGATTTAATTCAGCAGTTCCTTTCACAGTCCCATGTCTCTCAGCTGCTGCTGCTTGCTCATCAGCATTTAGAAACTTCAATGGTAACAAAGTACCATACAGGATCTAGGTACACTGAGTGTTTCCATTTTTACATGGTTTATATATAATACATATTGCATGTAAATGTTATATATAAATATTTATATATAGATATTACTTTATTCTTTCTTTAAAGACTTTTATTTTTAAACTATTTTTTCCTATGACTGTCTATACCCATTCCCTTTTCTTTCTTAAGCATATATGCACACTGTAATCTGTTTAAAGTGTTTTGGTCTAGACCTGTTTTACTGTGTTCTCTGACCTGTAGCATGAAAAATGAAAGACCCAAATTTTGGGGTTCAAGCTGAAGATCAGAGAAGCAAAGCAGCCAAGCCAGTAGATCTTACCTCTACCCAGCTGAAATGGCAAACCTGTCTCCACAAGTCCTCAGAGGCAAAAGCTCTCAGTTCCTGTCTCCTCCTCCTTTTATTCCTTTCTCTCCCTAGCCATATCTCTCCTGTCTCCACCTCCCTAGTGCTGGGATTAAAAGTGTGTGATCCCAGGTGTTGAGATCACCTTTGTGTAAACTGTTTCTTTAAGAACTGAATCAATTTTGTGTAGTCACTGTGACCTTGAACTAACAAAGATCCGGCTACCTCCGAATCATAAGTCTTGTGATTAAAGGTGTGTGCCAACATTGCTTGGCTAGCTAGTATAGCTGCTGAGATTAAAGGTGTGTATCACCACTGCCTGACCTCTATAGCTTGTGACTGGCTTTTCTTTGTGAATCTTCAGTTAAGCTTTAATAAATCATAAATAATGTATCACCACAATTCCCCTTTTTTATCCTGTACAAAAAGAAGATGGCTACGACTAACGAAAAACTATATACAATAAGTACAATAAGAATGTACACTGTATACAGGCAGTAAGTACACCAACAATGTCTAGTCCATTAGCATTTGACAAATTCAGAGAAAATACTCCATTATCTATCCTGTCTTAGTGAGTCCAAAGTCTTACATGTAATTTATTTTCTATTCTAATTTACATTATCAAATTGTCTTTTAATATCTCTCATACTTTTACACTTTACACATTTTTAGGCGAGCGTTGGTGGTGCACACCTTTAATCCCAGCACTTGGGAGGCAGAGGCAGGTGTATCTCTGCGAGTTTGAGGCCAGCCTGGTCTACAGAGCTAGTTCCAGGACAGTCTCCAAAGCTACACAAAAAACAAAAACAAAAAAACAAAACCCCACACCTTTAGTGAGTTTGTTTTTTTTTTTTTTTTCCTGAATCTGGTAAACAAAGAAGATTATAGCTATGCTATCTAGTCTTCAACTCCCTCAGAGACCCGAGAAGGAAAGAATATTACCTGAGTAAACAGAAAGTGTGAGCAAGTGACAAAAACAGCTGGCTGCCAGAACAGTCACCCAAGGTCATTCCACAACATTGGGGCATCCATCTTTGGCCTGTAGGCCTAGCATCTCTGATAGACTTTTCTGTGAAGCAGGGTTTTTAAAGGCAGTCCTGCCTTGTCTTGGCAGGATTTTGCAGTCACTCTCCTTTGCGTCCTGTTTGTCTAGTTTGGCCAGTGTACTGTCAGCAGTTGAGGCAAGGGTGCTTTCTTGCCCAGTGGATACTTTTTGCCACAAAGAAAGTAAACTCCATGTGAGTTTCTTTGATGCCTGTCATCTTCTCTGAAGTAGATTGTTGCTGCCAGGAGTAGATATGTCTCATTGTCAAAAAAAAAAAAAGAAGAAGAAGAAGAAGAAGAAAGAACCTATATTATTATTAAAACATCTTAAATACCATACTCTGTAGATCTCTGAAATGTCTGAAGATGACCTATCTAAATTATATCTGTTTGACCTTGATAACACACCTAATATGACTACAAGTTTGATTGTAATAGATGACTAATTACTAACCTATATTTCCTTATTATCTTATATAGTTTGTAATAATAACTTTCAAGGACTAGAAATTTGCATTGCATTGTTAAGTGAGCTGTATAGGTACAATGCCTTGAACAAGATTAAAAACATAGGTATGGTATATTTGAACAAAATTAATTTCTACTATAGAACTGTGTTACATGCTTTCCTCATGAGGGTGCTAACTGGCCATTTAAAAAGCTGAATGGTTGCCCTCATAGTCCTAATGCTCGTCTTACCCTACTGAGTTTATTTTCAACACTACACTGCTTTGTCTGGAGTGTGAGGCTCTTGTACTAACCCCTTCCCAGCACATTCTTGTTCTTTATTGTCATGATTACTTATGCGTAAGATAGCACAAAATAGACTGCCATTAGTTCTTGCTTTAGTTATCTTTTAGAGAAACAAAAATTTTAAAGATTGTTGTTGTTTATTCCAGCTTTTCTTCACTGGGTTTTATATGTTCATCTAGCAATCTGATCCACAGCTCTATCCTAGAATTACTTTCTGAATCTCTGTGTTTTCTTGATTGTTGGTCTCTTGCAGCCTCTTGTCTGCTGGATGTGTGCTGTGTTCATTTCAGTGGTTATCTGAGACAGGAAAGCTGGTGCAGCCCCAGTTACCATTATGTCCCAAAATGGGAATCTTGCCCTGTGTCATTCTGGGCAGCTGGAAGTCATGGTTTATGAACAGACTCAGAAGCTGGCCCCTTGGCACATCCAGTCTGTCCTCAGCCATGGCTAGCAGCTGTCAGCTGCAACAGTAGTTCTCATCTGTGAAGAGACAGAAGCAACATTGTGAAGAACATTATTCCAGGCCTCTGTGGCATCAGCAGAGCTCTTGCCATATATACAAGAGTTACCTAAGCCCTGGATATAAAAATTAAGGTCTTCAGAACATATAAAGAACCCTGCTCCCAAACCACTGACAGACAGCCCTTTGAAAGACATAGGAAGAGCCAGCAGGTGGTCAGCAGGTGTTCAGCCTCACTGGAAGGACTGAGAATGTTTGGTTGTACATTTCAGCTTGGATATAAAGAAAGTGTGTGTTCCTACACTGCTCTTTGGGAGTAGGAAAGGTATTGATGCAGCTCCCTTGGATGACAGCTTGACCTTTGACCTGGCAATTTGCCTTCTATGCAGCTCCCTGGAGAAGTAGGCTGTGCAAGGATCTTAGGCAGAAATGTTTCTGAGAGATTATGAAGGTCTTTCCCTGAGATGTGTTCTGTTATTCTGTGAGCCAAATCCATGTGGAGCAGCATGGATGAAGTTCCAGTGGACATCCTTGGCTAGAAGAGGCCAAGCATGTGGATTGTGTGGTAAAGACACATGTACGTGCACACAGGCACACACACATACTCATATGTGCACGCGTGCACACACACGCATGCACACACACACTCATATGAACGCACACACTTGATGGGTAATTTCTCTGCTTGGTTTGTTTAATAAGGTATAAATTTTAAAAAGCCTGTAAGGATCCCCACCTAACAGTGGCTTTCTTGGGGGAAGCAAAAGACTTTGAGGTAGAAGATGCTGGCAAAGGATACTTTCCCTCTATGAAATGCTTTGATTTTATTTTTTAGATGATAGTATAGTTCATCTTGCTTGAGCACAGGAAGGAAAGCATGGATGTATGTGTCATACCCTCATTTTACAAAGCTATGATGAATGTTGTGGCTCTAGAGGTTCCTGGGGGGTTGTGGACACTGTCTGTCATCCTAAAGTTGGGACAGGGCATAAGCAGTTTGCTGGGTCCCCATAGGCAGGGAGTCTTTTTTTTTTTCCTTGCAGTCTAGAAGAGGGTGGGAAAGTACTCATCTGGCTCAGGGATTTAGTTTGGCATACTCGTTTCTATTCAGAGTACTGCATGTTGGCTCCTGGGTCCAGTCTGTTCCAGCTTTTGTTTGTGACAATTTTGTCTGTGCCACAAGATCTCTGTATTCTGAATTGTTTATACAGCAGCCTTCTTGGCATGAGGCATGAGCTTGGGTGGCCAGCTCAGCACAGTGTGGTCGGTGGTAGGAGTGAGGCTGCCACATTCGGAGCCACAGGGAGTCTGGATCATAGGTTTATCTGTGGAGCCAGACAATCCAAGCCCCTTCTGAGAGAATGTGAAGGTAGCTTGCCCCACCAGGGAGGGAGGGAGGGAGAGAGAGAGAGAGAGAGAGAGAACTCACCTAACTTCTGCATAGCCACAAGCTCTCCGAAACAGCTTTATGACTGTTTTCCAGCCTTCCCATATATTGTTGTCATCAAAGGAAATGTAATTCACAGGAGATAAATCGGACAGCATTTCTTCTAGTCCTCCCGCCTTCCATTTCTCTCTGCCCCTGTCCTTGAGCGTTGGAAGGGCTAAGGAATGTGGACTTAGGGTCAAACACTCAACAGTCCCTTATTCTTGGCCCTTTGGCCAATTTAGGAGCCTCTGCAGAGGCAGGAGTTAGAAGGAAGGGATGTGTGACCATTATGAAATGAGTTTTGGACCTGCAGCTTGCAGCCCTCAAGATAACAATAAGAAGTGTCCCAGGATCTGATGGGGCTGTTCCTCTTCCTCCAGAGTGTCCCTGGGATTGGTCCTCAAGTCTAGAAAGATGAGTGAGCAGTTTGGTGTTCTTGGTGACAGTGAACCCTGATGAAGTTGTATTTTACTTGGAGTAAAGTAGAAAAAGGTTGAAGTTCATGCCTAAAATCTCTCCGCTGACAACTTTGTCCTTCCCTCTGTCTGTCTCTCACTCAGGCCAATTACACAGACCCTCAGAGCAAGCTGCGGTTCAGCACCATTGAAGAGTTCGCCTACATTCGAAGGCTGCCATCTGACGTGGTCACAGGCTACCTGGCCCTGAGGAAGGCCACGAGCATCGTCCCCTGAGCCTGAGAAGTGGGAATGAAGTGGGAATGGCCTCAAAAAACAGATTCTGCACGTGTGATATTGTTTCATGGAAACATACATGTTCTGCTGTCGGTCTGAGAGTGGCAGCTCCGTGCCTTGGAAAGAATGTCTGGCTTTACCATGATGGTCTTTCTGATGTTTATTTTCCTCCAAGTGTGGCATTCCTCTTTTAAATCATACTTCAGTTGTTGCCTCAAGTAAACATTGTTTGATAAGAAAATACAGAATTTTAAAATTAACTCAAGCATGTCCCAGAATTTTGTTTGCAAGTCGTGAACCCTCTTGCAATATTTTCAAAGAATGTACAATGAAGACACAGATCTGGATTGTCCTAGAGCCTGGCAATTGTGCTGGCCCCTCCCCAGATCAGAATGGATTGCCCTGGAGTCTATTGAGCATTCTGGTCCTTCCCTGATAGAATGAGTTGTCCTGGAACCTAGCAAGCCTGCTGGCCCCTCTCTGGATCAGAATGGATTATCCTGGAGTCTAGCACGCATGCTGGCCCTTCCTTGGATCAGAATGGATTGTCCTAGAGAGTCTGTTGAGCATGTTGGCCTTTCCCTGGATCCGAAGCTTCTATCTGTCTATTTTCTACTATGCTGTCAGGAAGTTTTGAAACTACCCATCATGATGGCATGCCTGCTGATGATTCGTCTCTGCTACATGGTGAATTGAGGCATTGGCCTCCAGGATCCTAAGGATAAATTCAGCTCTTAAAAGGAAAAGCAATTAGCAAGATTGAAGAAACATTTTGGAGGCTTAGCAGTTAAGACCACTTTTTGCTTTTGTAGGGGACCCAAATCTGGTTCCTAACACTTATGGTGACTCACAACTATCTCTAACTCCAGTTCTAGGGCATCTAATACCCTCTTCTGACATCTAAGGACACTGGATGTACACATGCAAACAAACTCTCATTCATACAAAGAAAATATATTTTTTAAATTGTATTTTCTTCTTAAGACCACACTGATATCCAAGCTGCTCTGATCTAAGTCCTTTTAATGTGTGCTGCATGTCTTCACTGTAAGAGAGGGTCCACAAGGACAACTTAGAATGACTGGAGTGTTAGAGATGCCCCTTGCGGAGCTGAGGTGTGGAAGACCGGGTCACTGTAGTTAATTTTCCTGCAATGAAATGCCTGGCAAGAAGGACTACATATCCATTCTGTGGGGAAGGCATGACAGCTGGCCACACTGCATCCATGGTCATGAATCAGACAACAGACAAGACGGGAGGCTGGACTATACCACCTCAGGGCCTGCTCTAGTGACCCACTTCCCCCAGAGAGGCTCTACCACCGTGGTACGACCGCATCCTTCCAAAACTGTGCCGCCCACCATACGTATTTCACATTCAAGTCACTATACCATGTCCCCCGGGTTAAAGCATGCGTCCACCCAGCTGGAAGTGTGGGCCAGACTACTTCCCACCAGATAACACTTTTCTGAACCCATGCCTCTTAGGAAGAGGCATCCCATCATCAAATAACACAGGTGCCTATGGAGAGGTCACAAATGATGTCTTCTTCATGAAACAGTGTTATTTCCAACAATGTTCTCGTCTGAGAGAATGTGTGAGCCTTATTTGGATCCTGGTTCAAACGAAAAGCTTACAATATTTCCAAGACAATTACAAACTTGATAGATTTTGATGTGTGACCGTATGTAGAAATAAGTATGAATACTTTTAATCAGAATGCTGGTATCATAATGTTAAAGGAAAGGGTTCATATTTTAGAGATGAAGGCTAAAACATTAGTGAATAGAGCAATATGATGTCTGGGATTTGTTTCAGGATGGTGTGGAAGAGAGGAAGTAGTGTTGAAACAAGATTGGCCTCAAGTCAACTATTGTGTGCTAAGTACACGGAAGCTCGTTGCACCATTCTCCTCTGTATTATTTTAATTTCTCCACAATAAACTTAACAAGGGGGTGACATTTTTATTACTAGCCGTTGAACAGAAAAGATAGCCACTTTCTGAAGCTTCTCACACAAACAGATTAGGGAGAAAGAACCACAAGGCAGCAACAGTGTCTTCTCTATGCTTCGAATCGAAGCCACCTTTGCTCTGCTGTCTTGGAGTCAGGGAATGGTGTGGGTCAGCTTTCTGTTGCCTTGACAAATACCTGAGAAAGTTAGCACACTCATGATCCAATCACCTCTCAAGTGAGCCACCATCCGGGGACCAAGCCCTCAATGCATAAGCCTTTTGGGGGAGTATTAGCAGCTTCTTGGGTACAATTAAATCAAATGAGGCAGGGTTTGGAGTGCATCAGGATGGCTTTCTGTGGCTTGGGGAAACACCTGTAAATTGTTTTTTAACAGAAGCTGCACGTGGGGCCTGGAATCTGTCAGCACAAATCCAGCTGTTCTGTCTACAGAACTTCCCAGACAGCTGAGCAAGGACTAAGGCAGAAACAGACAAACTGGTTCACTGAGAGCATTGTATTCAGTGTCTGGCATTTCCCTGAAGGGGCTTTTTCTTTAGAAAGGCCAGAAACTCATCTTTATCTCTAGCTAGCAGTTTCCTCCCATTTGTTACCAGGAGAGATAACAGTCACCATGGCCTGGGCTGGCTTGCCACAAAAAGCCCTTGTAATATTCCACACTGCAAAAAGCCAGGCAGCACTCGCCAGCGTTCATCCTGCAAACGCATGGCAGGAAGTCAGAGCTTCAGAACGCTGAGCACAGGCAGGCTGTTGGGGTGAAGGAAATTGCTGTCCCTGAACTGCTTGTGCCTTACTAAGGACAGAGGAGCCCAGACACAGCCCCGTGGAGACCTGTCATAGTCAGGGTTTGGTGCCTTGGTGACGTGCCATGATCAAGGCAGCTAGGGAGAAAAGGGTTCCTTTCAGCCTGCACTCCAGCTGACAGTCCCCCACTGAGGACGCGGAAGGGGGGCAGGAGCCACCCAGCAGTAGCAGTGCTGCTGTCTGGCTTGCTCAACCTGCTTCCTTTTTAAAATTTGAAACAAGCTTGTTTTACAAGTCCAATTCCTTCTCCCTCCCCTCCTCCCCTGTCCCCCTCCCCCAACCCCCTATTCCATCCTTTTTCTGCTCCCCCTGGAGGGTGAGGCCTTCCTTGGGGAGTCTTCAAAGTCTGTCACATCTTTTGGAGCAGGGCCTCGCCCTCCCCTGTGTTTCTAGGCTGAGAGAGTATCCCTCTACGTGGAGTGGGCCCCCAAAGTCTGTTCATATGCTAAGGATAAATACTGATCCACTACCAGCGGCCCCATAGATTGCACAGTCCTCCTAACTGACTGGGAACCTGGGTCGGTCCAACCTGCTTTGTTACAGAACCTGGACCACCAGCCCAGGGAAGTTCCCGCTCACATGGTCTGTGCCCTGCCGCATCAATCACTCATTAAGACAATGGCCCACAGGCTTGCCTATAGCCTGATTTTACCGAGGCATTTTTCACAGTGGAGGCTTCCTCCCTTCAGATAACTAGTTGTGACAGAGTGACATAAAAACTATTGCCCCTGCTACAGAAACGCATGCATCCCAGAGTCTGCTGCCGCCCCACAAGGTGAGCTTTTGGCTCAGCACTCAGACCTGGACTTGAGTTACGTTTTGTTCCACTTGTACACCTGACCAGCCCTGTGGTCTAGGCCCGTTTCTAGTCCAGTCATAAATTATTAATCCTTCATAAAATGTACGTCCTGATAGACTCCAACAGGAGTAGGGTCAAGCTGGGAAAACTCAGAAGGTGACATTGAGCCCCTGAGCCCACCTCCCTCAGTCTGTGCATCAGAAAACTGGGTCCTTCCTGACCCGAACCTTCTTAACCGGTTTTCTCATTCCTCATAGACGACACCAGCCCACAGGTGGCAATTGGACTAACCGTGACAGAGCTCTCCACAGCTTGTCTCTATTGGTCCTATCAGTTCTTACTGCTTATCTCTTATCCTGTGCACTTTAACAAGCCAGCTTTTTTTTTTTTTTTTTTTTAATGGCTCAAAAAAGTAGATAAGCAGATGGGGTTGAGGATGTAGCTTGGGTGACAGAGTGCTTTGCCTGGGGTGCTCAAATCTTAGAGTTCATCCCCAGTGTGACAGTGGCACTCACCTATAATCCTAGCACTCGGGAGGTAGAGGCAGGAACTCAGAAATTTAAAAGTCAGCATAGTGAGTTCGAAGCCAGCCCGGGCTACGTGAGACCCCTGTCTCAGAAAGAGAGAGAGAGGAAGAAGAAGGAAGGAGGAAGTTCTATAACTGAGACCAGGGAGGAGTGAGGCATGGTGGGTAGAGAGCAGAGACTGTAGAGTCAAGCTCAAGGAGCCTAGGGAAAGCTTGCTGGGCCTCTCCACCATCCTCAGTTCTTTGCATTCCTTCTGTATCCTACCTTTGTTCCTCATGGATAACAGGCCGTAAACACTTAAAAGCAAACAAAAAATGAGGGCTAGTCGTCTGCTTGTGTTGGTGACTGGGTAGGGTGGAGGCAGGGTACCCTTCCTACTGTAAACACAGGGCTCCAGGGGCCACCTGCGTTTCTTCCATGACTCAGTGGCCTGTGTTCCAACTGCAGACAAAGCCCTTCCTGGAAGAGTCGATGTTTTCCTGGCCCACAGGATGCTGGCTGCTGACAGGTGCACAGTGATCACCAAACAGCTCTCTCCTCACTGGGGTCAGAAGATGAGTCACATCCACCAGCCTGGTGACTTGGAGTCTTGGCTCTTTCCACCATGCACGTGGGACGGCGTGGCCTAGGGTTGTGCAGTGTGAAGGGCTCTTGCAGTGATCCAGTCAAGAGCCTGGCAAGTGATAACTCCCCTAATAACAACTGGGGAGGAAACTGGTTACTAGAGATAAAGAGGAGAGCTTCTGGTCTTTCCAAAGAAAGAGTCTATCCAAAGACAATAGCAGGCCCTGATGCCGCTGCCTCAGAACATTTCATCTGTACAGTTGCCCACACTTCTTACATGACCGTGTGCTAGGTTTTGTAGAGATAACTAGAGGGTTTGGGTGCTGAACACTTATTAGCCTTTCTGTGACGGAAGCAGTCACAGGGACATTGGGTCGTGCACACAGGAAACATGGTCTGAGCCTGCCTGGGGCCTCTAGGAAGGAGGAGAGGTAAGGAGGGTGTGGCTGACTCCTCAGGACTCCGCCACCAATCCCAGCCGCTTCCCTTCCACCGTGGCCAGGGGTCGCACCTAGGCCCCCTTCAGGTGCTGACATCATGCTCTTACACTTCCAGCCTCAGAACCAGGCGTCCAGAAACTTCTGTTTATAATTTACTCAGTAGGTGGTATACTGATACAGCAACAGAAGACAGATTGTCATGAATGCCGTGTTATAGATTTTTTAAAAAAAGAAAATATGAAATGGTTCGTGTCAAGAAGGCCATAGGTGAATTCCAGGGAGGGAATGGATCGTTTGGGGTGGGGGTGGCAAAGAAGGTAAACTTAAATATTCGGAAAGAGAGAGAAGTTTGATTTAGCTCAAGGTTAAAAGATGACTGATGTTTTCCCCTGGAACTCGGGCTCGCATACTTATGTGGGACCCCTGCCTCCAACTGCTTCACTCCACATACGGATGGGCCTCAGATCTACCGAAGAGCCATGAAAAGAAAGAGAAAAGGAATGAGACCCCCCCCCCAACTGCCGTACAGTGCCTGAGGAGCCCTGACCAATACACTTCCTGGCTGGGAAGATTGGGTAGATACATTTAATTAAACCCACTTTTCACTGGCATCACCAGGCCCAGCAGTGAGTCTCACACATCACCCGCACTGTGTAAGTTCCCGGGTAAAAAAATCCAATTACAAGAGGGAAGATGTTCGATGTCCCTGTCAGCTGTGATGTTTCTTTAAATGGTTGCTTTGTTCCTTTGGGAGTCGGTGAATCTAATGAAACTGAGTTTGTGTTGACGAACCTGGTGGGCCAGAGCGGGGAGCAAGAGGCAGTGAGGTTCTTTTTCTGAAGATTTTCTGACCCGTTGTCGTTTCAGAGACACTAGTTTTTGTTTTGCCTTTTAAATCAAAGTAATGGGAGAGGAGAGGCTGGGGAAGTGGCTTGGCCTGTAAAGCGCTTGCCATGCAGGTACAGGGGCCTGAGTTTGAACTCTAGCCTCTGTGGCTACAGACTGACCGGGCACAACTGTAACCCTGCTGCTGGGAGGTGGAGGCAGGAGAATCCCCAGGGCTTTCAAGCCAGGGAGTCTAGCAGAACTGGGGAGCTCCAGGCTCAGTAAGAGACTCTGCCTTTAAAGAAGATGCAGAGTGATAGACACCTGATGTCAACCTGTGGCCCCCACACACATGCACACACACTCCATTTGCTCGTGCACACATAAATGTGCACCTGTACATGTATGTACACACACACGTACATATACGCACACAGTCTGAGGAAGCCTGGTCTGAAAGGGCCAGAAGTTGAGCTACGGGGCAGGCAGTACTGTTCTGAGTACCCTGTGTCTCTTGGTATGCAGCTCTGAAGGACACGCCCAGCCCTATTCTGTACTTGGTGACAACCAGGTTCTGTTGGTTGCTTTTGTAACCCGGTCACGTGCTGTCTCATCAGTACTCACAGAACGTTATTGCTTCATTATTAGCCATGGAGGAAACAGTCTTGGGGACGGTAGTCCATCTACCCAAGCTACATGAGAGCCATGGGTCAAGCATGTGCTGAGGCCTCTGGGAAGGGAGAGTTGACAGATGTGTGCTGGCTCCCCTGGCCTCCCCACCCCCCACCGTGTTCACCACATCTGAAGAGCAGATCCTGATGAAGACTTGTGGCTTTGTATCCTTGCTTCATGGTTCACAGAACTGCATTCTGGGTATGGAGGAGTGTTTGTTAAGTCCCACTGACAATTCTAGTCTGTTACATTGCTTTTCCACATCATGGCAAGCTTGTTCTCTGTCCCTGTCACCTAGAGCAGCCAGCTAGTTCAACTCTTGGTTCAGCAATTGCCTTTCTGGAAACCTTCC